GAGTAGAACATAACATAAATTCCGGCCCATTTAACAGAATTTATAAAGCACTTTAACAGCCTTCTACATCAGAACTTCCGTTATATGAACATGAATGCACATATATAATAAGTATTTGGTTTGTATGCCTCTATATATATGTGCTGTTGGGCCAAGCTATAAAGAGTAGGATAGAATGCCTAAAAGGTAAGAATTTAAACGCTTCTTGTCCTTTCTTTCTCTTTCTTACCTGTTCAATGTTTATTGCTTACTATAGATACTGAAGAGTTACTGTATTTCATATATCATCTACATGTGACAACGTTGTTCATTTTTTGCTAAAATTTTTATCTATTGTAACTTGGGAAGCAGAGCAGTATCCTCCATATCGGTCAACATATCTTGCATTTCATAGACTTGAGGCTTTAAATTCATTTAGGTGGGTTAGAAGGCATCCCTTATTTAGAGGTACAACTTACAAGTCTTGTCTCCAACCTTCATGGTACCTATTCTTTGTGCTTTAAACATTTAGGGGAGTGTTCTAAAGATGTAATTAATCATGAGAACTTATATGTATAAGAAATTAGTTTATCATAATATTGAATCTTGTTTTGACATCTCATGTCACTATGAGAAAATTTTTAGGAGTTTTCTCTTAAACTTTTAACATCGATTCTTATTGGAGAAGGTCTAGGATTATTTTTTATCCTCGAAGTGTTACGATCCAATATATTCTTTGCAAATGGATGACAATTTTGAAGCCCTAGTAAGATTTAAGTTTTTGCTAAAATGAAAAAAATTGAACCAAATTTAGTACCAAATAACTAATAGTTATGAGAGAATATAAAATAATTGCCTCTCATTTATAATTAAGATATGACTTTGTCTATTGATGTTGTTAGGGAACGATGAACCAAATACAAAGAGAAATAATAAATCACGGTCTGCAAAATACAAAAGAGCACAAGAGATTTACATCGAAAACCCAAATTTGGGAAAAACCATAGGGGAGAAGGGAGAATAACTTCACTATAGGGAAGAGGCGGAAGTATAAAATGGCTTACAAACTCTAAACCATTTACAACATATTTATAGGGAAAAAACAGGGCACCAAAAAACAAGCAGGATTCCAAAAAAAACCTTATAGCTAAAATCAAATCCTATTAGAGGGCGTTGCCTCTTTGGACCCCCGACATATTTGTGAAACGTATGACGGTAAAGGATATAAACAAACAAGGGTTGAGCCAAATTCGAGGCAACTCCAACCGTTGTTTATCTTTGGATTCAAGTATTCTTGATATAAGAATTGTTTGGCATGCCATTAGTAGACTTGTCTAGTGTGGTGTGGTGTGCTTCTTACATCCATGACTAGCAGAAAGCATCCATTGTGGTCCTGTCGTTCCCCAAGTTAAATAAGGTAAATACTGCATGAACCTCACTCACAAAGGATCCTTACTCCATTATGGCAAGCAATCTTGAACTTTTAAGCAGCATTCAGCTAAGTGAAAAAATCACCATTGGGCAGAAGCCAAATCTCTCTCCTTAAAGCTCTATTTATAGCAGTGATAAAATAGCCTATAATTAATTACAAGATATATCCAAAGACTATAAGATATTCATAGCCCCCCAAAAGGATATCATGATCTTCACATCTTTAAAAGGATCATCAACACAACAAAGTAAAAAGTTTATCTTAAGAGATATCAACCATTATGAAAATCTAACGTGGAGAATATCATATCTTCACATTTTTAACACTTGCTATTACCATGGCCATATACTCATATTGTCAAGAGACTTGCCCTACACTAATTTAATAAGTTCGAATAATGCATTTGCCTGCCAAGTCATGTAGATAACTTGACAAGACCAACATAGAAACCATTAATAGTCAAATTGAATGCAGTGGTAAGTCAAGTTCAATATTTTAGACGACCTGAAAAATTGACTTGAATCCTACCTGAAAATTTTGGGTTAGGGTCAACCCAGACTGAAACGGGTCGGGTTCAACAAATCAACCCGTTTCAAAAATTTGGTCGGGTTCGGATTGACCCAGTAACTCGAAATTGACCAAATTTTGACCCAGAAACTCGAGATTAACCCGTTCCAAAAATCGGAGATTGACCCATTTTTTATCCAAAAATCAGCAATTTTTGGTCGGTCCCGGGTCATTCGGGTCGTATTGGGTTGACCCAGATCCGAAGCGTGTCAGATTCGGATCTGAAAAACCAACCCGTTTGCAAAAAATGGATAGGGTTCAGGTTGACTCAAATAGTACTGGATCAGTTCCGGGTTCCACCCGAACCCGACCCGTGATCCGAAATTGACACCCCTAATGATTTTCTTAGAGGAATGACAATGACAACACCTAATATAGTATTTAAGTAGCTGTAGGCATATAGAAAATATGATAACCACTTGGCATGTTGTTAGTTTCTGCTTGCAAAGCCAAATGGAGTTGCAGGCAAGGCTGTGTTGGAAAACAAAGGGATTCTAAAACCACAACCCTACTAAACCTCCTCAATGATTAAGGGAATCTCATTTTGTTTCTTATGAGTAAAACTACTTGCAAGCAATTGTCTTCGAGCTAGCTAAGGTAGGAATTAGCTCCATTTCCAAGCATATTTTTGCATAAAGGAGCTAAGATGGAATATCAGTCATATCATCTTATGCTGTCACTATAACTTTGGGGCAAAATGACAAATAGTGCAACCCTGTATATTTCTCCAATAGTTTGTCTTATTCCACTATCACAAGTTCAAATTTCTACTTAAAATGAAGTTCTCTGCAAGTTTGGAAATAGATTATGTTTACAGTGCCTGTGCCAGGAACTTTTATTACGTCCGGTGTAAGGACGTAGAGGAACGTCCGGTTGGAGCCAAAATCCCGCCAAAAAACTCAATATTTGCTTGGTACAACTAGGTATTATTTGATATTACCGAGAAATATTGCTCTTTGAAGACCAATACCGAGTTATACCAAGCTGTACCGAGAAATACCGAGTTGTACCGAGTTTTTCTGGAAAAACTCGGTACAACTTTTGTATAACTCGGTATTTCTCGATTTAGCTCAGTATAACTCGGTATTGGGTCTTCAAATGATGGTATTCCTCATTATTGTTTGGTATTGTTCGGTATTTGCTCAGTACAACTCGTTTTTTGGCGGGATTTGACCTCCGACCGGACGTTCCTCTGCATCCGGTCAGAGGACGTAATAATTGTTCCTGTGCCAGCATGTATTGAGTGTTAGCTGATGCTTATAGATGATAAAATCCCAATATAATAGCTGATATGATTTTGCATTTATAGCTATAAAATTCTATGATTTTATCATGTTATTTTCTTTTTTATGTTTGAAGCTCTCAATGCTATGAATTTAACTTGAAAATTGGTGATCATATGAAAAGCAGATTAAGGCTTTGTTTGGGCTGGCTTTTTAAAGTAATTTTTTAGTATAAATTTTTCTAGTTTAAGAAATTTTTGTACTACAAAGCTGCTTTAGAAAACATTAAAAAAGTCGTCTCAAACAAAATCTAAATTTTGGCTCAAATAGTGCTTGGATCAAATTTAATGATTTGGCTAGTAAGTATGATGGACATCATACTTGAATTGAGTTGAGTTTGGATTAGATTGAATGTTATACATGCATGCATGCATGCTTGTATATATATACATATATATGTTTCATCAAAAGTGTCTAAGGGATTGAAAAATTAAAAGAAATGAGATCAATTTTTGAATTGAATCTAGTTTACCAAAGCATGATTAACTCGATCGAGATAAGATCGGTTCAACCTATAAATAGATTTAACTTAGGCTCAAGATTTGATCAAATGACTTCGGACTAATATGAAGCTTGAGTCGAGATCAAATAATTAATCTCTAAGAGCCAATAACACTCAATTAAGAGTATAAATAAGATAATTCAGGCTCAAGCCATCCTTTGTTCGAACTTAAACTTGATTAATTAATCGAGTTCAAATATGTGATTGAGCTCAATTTTACGAGTTTGAATAAGGGAAAATGATTATAATTTAATAATTTATTGTAATAGATAGACAAAAAGAGTGAAAAATAATTTATCATTTGATAAAAAAGGGAGATATAACTTTTCATAACTTCGCACTTAAATTTAATATAAATGAATTTTTAACATTTATTTTTTCAGTATTTTTTTTTTTTTTTGAATTTTTGGTACTATAAATCAGCTTTTTTTTTGTGACGAGGAAGCACTGTCCTTAGGCCAGTGAAAGCCCCGGTCGACCTAGCATGCAACCCACACTAATTTATACGGACCAACACTTAAGGCTTTCACTGCTTGCCAAGGTATTTGAACCCGGGACCTAGGCTTTGAACAGCCGGCTCTTCACCACCCGGACAAGCAGCGGTGGGTCTATAAATCAGCTTTAGAAACCATTAAAAAAGCTTATCCAAACAAAGCTTAAAAATTACAACACAATCACTATTCACTACAGAAAAAAAGAATATTTTCCAATGAATATTTATGAAAGTTCTAATAAAGGAAGAAAGAAGAACAGTCTGCATTCATACATCAGCTGAAAGCATTGAAAGAGATGTTAGGGCACATGGAAGCTTTAAGAGCTCATGCCCTTATGGCAATGATGCTCTTTACCTTTCAGAGCTTTGGGTATTTGGTCAGTAAAGCTTAAAAGCATATAGCAAATGAACAAACTCCCACTTAGTTGAGGGGTCAAATAATTATTATAGTTTTTTTTAGTTGTTTTTCTTACAATTATGAGATGAGAGATAATTTTCTAAATTAAATATACTAGAATGAGATAATCATAAAAAATAGTAATCAATTTTCTTTAATATCAAATCTCACGATAACTGAAAGCCACGGTAGATGAAAAATTACCACTTTTCATGATAAATCCCGGATTTCCGAAATCCTCTAATACGGCGGATTTAACGCTCTATTGGTGCGACAGGGAAGAAAAATTTGCTCATTTTAGAATATAATACTAAAACCAAACAGTCACACAGGATTTATCATGAATGTTACCAAACAAACTTTTAGGATTTAACACCCCAAAATTTCGTAAATACTTTTAGAGGCCAAACATCTACTTAGGATGATTATGCTCCTATTCAAACAGGCCATGAGTCCCCAAACTCACCTAAACTAAACTCTTCAGTTAGTGGATTCAAAATTACAATAAATAATATAGATTGTTAAGTATAAACATACAATTTCCCCTTAATTCTGCAAAATGATTTGCGTCAACGATTAGGTTCACTGGTAACAGATCCACGTAATCTTAGATCAGCAGGTGGAATGAAGCAATCCACTGAAAGCCCAGGCACATTGAAAGCCACTTCTTCAATGGTCCATGCTTCCTCCATTCTCGTCTTGCTGTGGCTCATGGCTGCCTCGCCGAACCGGAAGAGGCTGACCACCGACCGGCCGGAGTGCGCAATCATCACTCCTTCGACCGGCCGATAGTCGTTTATGAAGGAATTGATGGTGGTTTCCCAGTAGACCGCGTCGGTTCCAGTGTTTGATTGGATTCGAGTTAGGTGGGAATCCTCCATGTAGATCAAAAGGCCAGTTTTTTGACTGAAATAACCGAAGAGAACATGGCGAATGATCTCCCCTGTGCCTTCGCTCCTCGCCTTCAGAGTTTGGGAGTCAGCGCTTAGTTTCAGAATGAAGCAATCCTCACCATTGACCTTCTTCTCTCCTGTGCAGTGCGCATTGGCGAACATGCTCGCGGTGGTCAGTGGATCAAGGCCCTGGAAAAAAGAGTGGCTCTTGGGTTGAAATTTATAGATTTCCGAAGCGATTTACTTGTAAAGAAGGTGGGATTTTTAGTTTTGGAATTTGAACCTGGAGAGCACGACGAAGGGGGCGAACAGGGCCTTTTGCGGCGTGGGCGCCAAGCCAGGGAGTGTGGCGCCAAACGATCTTGCCATTAGAGCCGGCGTGGACCTTGCTTCCTCCGACGGCGAGTTCAACGTACCACATATGTGGAGGCATTTGCCAGAGGACGAAGCCGCCGGTCTCGACCGGAGCGCTGCGGTTCTTAGTCAACTTCGTCGGAGTCTCGTAGTCCGACGCCGCCATCTTTAGCTTCCCCATCGCGTAGAAATTTCGTATAGAGTTCTGCAGCTTGATCCCTCCGGTGGCCGCCGTGTATTGTTGGAGAATGTATTGCGCCGATGAGCTTTCCTGGCGGAGGTAAAAAAGCAGAAGTCAATAATCCCATTATTAATTACATGTAATGGAGAAAGACGAGTGAGGAGCAGCTAATTGGTACTATTGGAGTGTCTTTGATGCTGAGATGCGGGAACGCGCTGATGGAGCTAACGTAGGCGGGGGCGAGGGGGGCGCCCATGACGCCGAGGAGGAGACGGGTCACTGATCTGTTGGCATCGTCAGCCGCTGCGGTAACGGAGGAAATAGAAGGGACGCGGGAGAGTTGGCCGAGGACCCATTTGCCCCAACCTTCCTTCCGATAGTCGCAGGCGAAGTATCTGTCAGCGTGAGGATCCGGTCCCTCCATTAGCGGCGGTAGTGTCTCGCCGACTGGTCGAAGGCTGCAGGATCTCACCATAAAGGACTCTGGGAGGTTTGAAATGGATCGTTTGCCGAGCTGGGCCTTTCTCCGGCGATTATGAAGAAGCTCAACAGCCTCAGACAAGCTCCTCGCAGGGCTCTCAGACCGAGATCGCGATATTGGTCTTGACTTGACCGGAGATAGACCTCTCACCACTTCTTGCTTCAAAGCATAGAAGAATCCCTGCTTCTTTTCCATCTCCCTTCAGAAGAACAAAGCAACAATCGCAAAAGTGTAGAGAGAGATAGAAGCGGAGTAGTAGAAACACTCACAGATTGCTAACTGAATCAAAGCTCATGAAAAGAGAAATTTTTCATGGGAAGATTTGATCACCCTTGTCACTTATTAGCTCCAAATGTTAACTGCCGGCAGGGTAAAGCAGCAGCAGTAGAGGAGATGATAAAGGGATAGGACTGGAAACGCGGGAGACGTTCTGAGAGAGAGAGAGTGCGGGCTGAGGTAGGAGACAAGAGTTCTGCTCTGCCATGGAAGAAGCAGAAGGTGGGGTGGGAAACCAAATAAAAAGGTCGGAAACATAACCGTTTGAGGTGAAACGTAATTAACAAAAAAAAAAATCATCCAATCCGATAAGTAAAAAAAAATCTATTTTTTCTTTAAATTTATTCAATGAAATTATTTTTTAGCGTAAATTAATATTATGATTATTAAAATAATAAATCTTTAATCTAAACATGATCATTGATGATTAATTTGTTAAAAAATTCACATAAATTAGAATTATTATTTTCTCAATTATATTTCAAATCTTAAATTAATTATTAATTTGAATTTTAAAAAAACAACTACATAATCCAAAAATATTTTGTAATTAATCATAAAAGCTTAATTTAATTTTTACTTAAACAAATCAGCTTATTGATTGGTTGGTGGGAGCTCCAACTCCTATTGAAGGTGATGTCTGATTGAGCAGCCACATAAAATGTGACACATGATGCCTCTCTAAAAGGCAGTTAATAGTAGACACAACGAAACTAAAATGTTTTAAATATTATTAATTAAAAGGTGTTGTGTAATGTATTAAATAGTAAATCATTAATTTTACATAAAATAGTATGTATAATGTATATATCAAAATTATGAAAAAATATTATAATGTATACAATAATATATTTATAATGCATAAGATATTACTAAAAACATATCATATTAATATTAATTATTTATAATTTACAAGAAAAACCACAAGCAGCCTTTATCTCGTGATGTGAGGTCGATTATATGAATCATTTTTCTTCCTTGTATTATATTAAGAGTTAATTTTTTATTTAAATTTAATTAAAGAAAATCATCTCTAATATTTTATAACAAAGTTTTTTTAGATAGTCCTTTGTATTTCTTAACATATGTTGTATTCAAGATGGCAACAATCCTAACTAGGTCATCAAAAGGCCGATGTTTTGTATGATTGTTGCGGGCTAGAATATACGTGGCGGTAGAGTTTATAAATTCGCGTCCGAGCGTTGTACGAGTATTCAGCACGCAAACAAAAAAGAGAATATGAACACCATAATTTTTACGTGGAAAACCCAAAAAGGGAAAAAGCCACGGGGCCTCGCCCAGTTGAAAAATTCAACTAGTGTTTTGCAAATTACAAATGGCTGATTCGTCCCACAAGTCGGGGCAATCAGATTACAATTCATTTTTTCAAGCAAGTTTACAAAGTTCTGCAGAATCCCGTCGTTTCCCCAAAATCCGACAGAGTTCTGGCGTATTCAAGCGGCGGGAAGAGCTCCGGCGGTGGTCGAGGAGGAGAGGATTCTCATTTTCTCCTTTCTCCTCTTCTTCTATTTTCTTCTCTCTCTTCACTTCAGTCCCCTTTGTTAAGAATGATGGCTCTATTTATAGTTTTTCTGGAGTGGCACGGCTTGTGAAAAGGTGTGAGATCAGGGGCGAATAAGGTGTGGTTTGAATGGACGGCCGATATCGAACCCTTCCATCGTGCACCGTTCGTTGGACATTTGGAGGTCTTTATGATGTCAGAATTCGGCGATATTGGGCTCTTTGAATTTGTCTCGTCAAGCCGCTCGATTCGAGTATAAGCTCGTTAAAATCGAAGACCGTTTGGTAACTCAAATCGCGGTTTGAACCTTCCAACAGCGCTTCGGGTCCTTGATTCGGACCCATTCGAGCTCGGATTTGGTCGAATTTGGTGTCGTTGGGTTCGTATTTCCGAGACGCTCAGTTTGACTATAAGCTGGCTGAAATCGAAGTTCGAATGCTCTTGATTTTAATTTTTGAAATTTCCTATTATATTTTGCCTCGAGATTCATGCTTGATCAAGATAATTATCTGAGAATACATCAATGATCAAAACATCTAAGGCAACTCTTTCTATTTTTATCTATAATGGGAGCTACACCAACTCTTCATAAATATACTTATTTCACATTCTCTCTCTACGTGTAAAGTCACTCATCCACAATAGTATCCTCATTTCTACAACACTTAATTTTACGCTTCTCGTTTAATGGCCAACATTTTGTGCCATAAATTGTTGTAGATCTCATCATCATCTTCGAAAATTTCCTCTAAATTTAAGAGGTACTTTTATATCACATATGCACTCGTATATTTTGTTAATGATATACATTAGAATTAAAAAAAAAAATTATCAAAAATTTCTACATTTTATATAATGAGAGAATAAAGAAAAAGATTTTATTTTTTTTTAGTTGAACAACCAAATAATATTTTTAGATGTAAGCTTCTCAACTTTCATTTTCAAAAATAGGAAGTATGGGCAACCTAATAGGCCTGCCTTAAAGATATTTTAATTTGACGTGAAGATCGAAGCTGCTAATTAATTAATTAATTACATTGGCTTTTGTTTGTATATTAAATTTTTAGAGTGAGTCAATATACGTTAGAAGATTAATATATTATTAAATAAAAAATTTAATCTAATGGTTATTGGTGAGTGTCTCTTTCACCATATTAAAAATTTAATTATTATTTTACATGAAATTATCATCAAGTGTCATACATAAAAATTTAATCATATATTAAATTTTATATTAAGACTCCATATAAAGAACATAATAGTATATAATCATTATTATTAATATATTACAATTTTAATTTAATATATTGTTTAATATAACTAGTGAGTCATATCCTGTTAAAATAAAATTTAAATTAAGGATTCCTTTGGGACAATTTTCTTAATGTTTTTTAAAATAATATTTTAGTTAAAAATTTTTTTGAATTAGATTTTTTGTATTAAAAATAGTTTTAGAAAATAATGAGAAAATTATTCCAAATGAAGCCTGAGAATTCGTATGTGATAGTTTTTTTTATTGTTTTCTAAATCAGTTTTCTAATATAAAAACTTCATGAATTAAAAAAATTTGTACTAGAAAGCTATTTTAGAAAACAACAAAAAAAGCTAACCTAAATGAAGCCTAAGGTTTCGTTTGGAACAGTTTTCTTACTGTTTCTTAAAGTATTTTTCGAGTACAAAAAATAAAATTTGCTTTAAGAAAGCTATCCCAAACAAAGCCTAAGTTGTATTCTTTTTTTTTTTTCATTTTTTTTTTAAGTTGAATTCAAATATTCAAATAGAATAGATAAAAATTAGGGTTAGATCAGCTGAAGATTAAGCTATTGTGTGGAAGTCAAATAAGCTCAACTTTTAATCTTCATGAAATAAGATTCATAATTGATACGTCATCATAAAATTATATTGATTGGGCACGAATCTTGAGGCAAAAATCAAGTTGGAAACTTCGAAAATTAATTCTAGGATCATCTGAACTCTGATTTCAGCAAACTTACTATCGAACTGATCGTCTTGGAAATACAAATCCAACGATACCAAATTCGACTCAATCCGAGCCCAAATAGGTCCAAATCAAGGACCCAAAGCGTTGTTGGAAGGTTCAAACCTTAATTTGAGTTACCAAACGGTTTTCAAACATAATGTGCTTATAGTCGAATCGAGCGGCTCGACGAGACGAATCCAACGAGCACAAGATCGCCAAATTCCGACATCATGAAGGCCTTCAAATATCTAACGAACGGTCTATGATCAAGGGATTCAATATCGGCCGTCCATTCGAACCACTTCCGATTCGCCCATGATCTCTCACCTATTTACGGGCCATGCCGCTCTAGAAATCTATAAATAGACCCCTCATTTCTCTTGTGGGGGGTCCAAGCAAGAAGCAAGAAGCAAGAGGAAGAAGAGAAGAGAGAATATTAGGAGGGAAGAAACTCCTCGACTACTGCCGGAGTTCCGCCCGAACTCCAAATGACGCCAGAATTTTTTTAGACTTCCATGGGATACTGAAATTCTGCCCAAGTAACGACAGAGTTCCCCCCTGACGCTGAAACTCCGCCTAAGTGATGCCGGAGTTCTCCTCGGCCACCAACAGACGTCAGACTTCTACCCGACGCCAGACCTTCACTCATCGCCAAGTTTCTATCCGATGCCGGACTTCTATCAGTTATCGAACTTTCGCTGGACATCTGTCTGATGCTGGATTTTTATCCATTGCTGAACTTCTACCTAACGCCATCCTTCTGACCTTCATCGCCAGCCAACTACGGTCCTTCTGGCTAACGTCGCCCGCCGACTACAGTCCTTCCGACCTCCGTCACCCGCTGACTACGGTCCTTCTTGCCTCTGTCGCCCACCGACAACGTTCCTTCTAATTAACATCGTCCATCGACTACAGTCCTTCCGACATCCGTCGCTCGCCGACTACGTTCTTTCCGACTTACGTCACCCACCGACTACAGCCCTTCTGGCCAAACAAACACATCATCAGTGATTCTCTGTATTCTTACAATGTAATGTACTCTATAAGATGTACATCAAGTTAAGGCCTTCTACTAGAGTAGGGTCTCTTTTGTAATCAACTACAATACTAGTGGATTCATTTATACTGGGCCAGACCCCGTGGTTTTTCCCATATTCAGGGGTTTTTCACGTAAAAATACTGCTGTCTCTAGTGGATGATAACTCTCTCTCTTATCTGATTGCGTGCCAGATTTTTATACAACGCTAAGACGTTGAACTTTATATTTCTTTACCGCCGCGAATACTCCTGGACGCAACAATAATAATTTTAGCTAAATGATAAAAAATCATTATTAAAATAACATTAAAAATAAAATATATGTAAATTGAAATAAAATAATAATAAGGATTAATTTTTAGCATTTATATATTTTAACTTTAATTTAAATATTTTTATTTCTGAAATACTTAACTCATAGTTTCGATTGTACACTTGCAAGTTGCAACATCATATGCAATATTTTTATTCAAATAATTATAGAATATATGCCGTCCTTATTTTCTAATTTTATTTTTTAAGATATGCAAATAGATAATTAAATAAATATAGCGTTAAGAAAAAAACTTTAAACGTATAAAGAACAAAAGTTGTGATCGCTGTAACTGATTTGATTCTTCAAGATTGGGTCCGTAAATAATGGATTGGATGGCTCTGATTGTAGGG